TCTAAGATACAAGACAATGAATACAATTATACTCAAATCAATTTTGACAGGTACTTGAGCCATAAATTACCAATACCACAACTTGTAGGTTTTTATTATGGAACATAAGTAATTTGGAGGTATTATCATTAAGGGAAGCAGAAAGACAGAATGAAGAAACCTCTACTGAAAAAGGGATGTCTAGCAGAGAAACAAATTATACCATTAAAAATTGAGTGTTTGACTAACATAAATCTAGGCACAAATGAGAAAGCAAACTGAAAGCATGACATGCATCAACACTAATCTAAGTTTAAAGAAAATAGCAAACTATGTAAAACCATTATTAACGTAACCCATCCATCCATCCATCACTTAGTGGCACAAACCAAAAGTCAACAACATAATAACTAAGAACCCTTGCCCATATATGAGTGTCTACTTAATCTGGTTATTGTTGAAGATGTAAGCTTCATCACACCAACATTTAAAAGGCAGGATACACAATCCTCTTTCTCTTAAACTTCCTACAGTTAAGGGAAATTTAAGCTCAAAAAAGTGGCCACATGAAGTAAAGAGCCGTTCATTATACACATCAAAGAACTGCCTACGGTATTGCACTTGATTTGGGTGCAAATATCATAACACAACACCACAGCAAATATTTAGGTGACCTAAATAACACAATATGATGATGGCAATTAATAAAACAAGACACTACCTGCTGGAATCGACTAGACTGCCTTGCTAGAATTGACGCTGACTATGGAGTATGGACTTTAGACTGGATCACTGGAGTATGGACTCTTGACGCTGACTATGGAGTATGGACTCTGGACTGGATCACTAGAGTATGGACTCTTGATGCTGACTATGGAGTATGGACTCTCAATCGTTATTGCTGGAGATGATCGTTGGGGTAGAGGGTGGAGGCTGCTCATGGTCTCTGGAACGAACGATTTAGGGCAAAATAGAAGTGGAAAAGAAAAGACACAAAATGCCCAAATGCCCAAATGATAAAAAAATCTCATATTTATACTAAATAAACTAAATCGGCCGATTTTTGTAAACTCATTTGATTTTCACTGGTTACCGATTTTTTGATCGGTTCACCGATTTTATCTCGGGTTCTTTGCTCAAACGATCCAATTATAAACCCGGCCCAGTTAGGGACCGGTTCACCGGGTCAAACCGCCGGGCCATACCCAGTTTTAAAACACTGCCCGAGACTATATGTGGCTCGACCACAGCTTCTGCGATCCTCTTACAGGATGTTTGCAGCTATGACTTTGTTCTCGCGCAGATAATCTCCTTACAAGTCTCTGCTATGGAAGCCATCTCCCTAGACTATACGTATCTCGGCCTCAGCTCCTGCGGCCCTCTCACGGAACATTTGTAGCTATGACTCTACTCTCGCGCAGGTAGTCTCCTTAGAAGCCTCTACTATGATACCCATCTCCTGAGACTATAAGTAGCTCAGCCTCAACTCCTGTGGCCCTCTTACAGGACGTTTGCAGCTATGACTCTGCTCTCGCATAAGTAGTCTCCTTTCAAGCCTCTACTACGACAACCATCTCCTAAGACTATACGTAGCTCGATCTCAGCTCCTACAGCCCTCTCACAAGACGTTTGTAGTTATGACTCTACTCTCCCATAGGTAGTCTCCTTACAAGCCTCTGCTACGATAACCATCTCTCAAGACTCTACGTAGCTCAGCCTCAACTCCTGCAGCCCTCTCACGGGACGTTTGCAACTATAACTTTGTGCTTGCACAAAAAGTCCCCTTATAAGCCTCTGTCACGGCAACTCTCTACCGAGCTATACGTTGCTCTGACTATACTCTCGCGTAGACAGTCTTTTTATCAGCCTCTAGCTTCCCAGGCCTCTCATAAGATGCCAAAAAAGCTCAGGTTCAGGAGGCGTAACTCTCTCATGAGCAAGCTTCAACTGTTCCTCAGCAGTTTCTAGAAATTTGCCTCTCTTTCGCCAGATCCTTGGATGCCTCTCAAAGTTTAATCATTCTTGAAAAGAGGTAGGGAAAGACAGCAGTCATGTAAAAGAATCTAAAAAACAGAACATAAAGAAAAAGAGAATCCCTCTAATGCAATATTGATAATGCCCTGATATCACTGGGAGTCATAGACCTTCCAAGTCGCTCCTTGACCCAAGTCACATTAAAAGTATGGACACTGAGCCACTATTAGAAGCAAGACAGTTATGTAAAGCTACAATCCCCGTAGAAGATCGTATTGGTGTCACAACACCTACAACGGTACAAGGACTAGCTCTAGTACACACAGGAATCACAGTCTGGGAAGGAGGGGAAGAGTGAGGGGAACCAAACCTTAGACCTTGACAGAGAAGCACTAGGGGCATCAAACCACATCCTCTTAGGAGAAGGAGAAGACACCACCCTAAAAGCATAGAGAGTCTCCACCATCGCCCTATCAATAGGTTGCCTGTAATTAGAGACAATGTCAATATAAAGAACCGGTATCAAGAAAACATTAAGGAGAAATAGGATTGGAGAAAGCGGGTTCGCCTACTCGGTGCCGCCCTACTAGACGCCTTCTTATTGGCCTACTAGGCATTGCCCTACTAGACGCCTCCCTACTTTGTTTCCCTACAAGCCTACTTGGCGTCGCCTCCCTGTCGGGTGTCTCCCTCTTGGGCACCTCCCTCTTGGTCTATTGGGCGCCGCCCTCTTAGTCGCCTCCCTACTAGGCGCCACCCTACTGAGTGCCTCACTCTTGGCCTACTGAACGCCTCCCTATTGAACGCCTCCCTCTTGGCCTACTAGGCATCGCCTCCCTACTGGGCACCACCTCCCTACTAGGTGCCTCCCTTTTGGCTTATTGGGCACCTCTCTCTTGGCCTACTGTGCGCCTCCCTACTAGGCACCTCTCTACCAAACCTCTTGGCCTACCAGGTGTCTCCCTATTGAGCACCTCCTTACCAGGTGCCTCATTACTCGGTGCCTCCCTACTAGGCGTCTTCCCTTTGGGCATCCCACCAACGTCTTGGCCACCTCTGCCAATGCATTGGGCTCCTCAGCACTCCCTCTCTCTCCCACATGGACGCTACCCCCTCTCTCTCCCATGGGCACCACCTCTTCTCCTCTCTATTAGGGAATCTTCTCCTGGCACACCATCTATTAAGCTCTCTCCACCAAATCCTTCGCAGTTGATCTGGCGTCACCCTTGAAAACTGATCTGGCGTCGCCTAGAGCCAACGCCCCAGCGCTAGTGCCTTGGGCATCGCCTACGTCATAGGAGCCGCCCAACTCTCCATCTTTCCTTTTTAGTGGATTATGGGGTAAGGATGTAAGGATTATTTCTAAGCTCTGGTTCCAAAAGAGGTGTTAGCACCCTAAGATAGAAAAAGGGATCCAAGTTTAGTGAAGACCAGACATATAAGAAATAGTCAATAGAAAGGGTGCCCAACCATGGAGTTATCAGAAGAAGAGAAAAATTTCCCAAGTACATGATTAAGAAGCTGAGGAAGCTAACACCGTGGAGAACAAGAAACTAAAAGCTCACTCATGCCCTCAACCCCCCTTCTCTAGTAAGCAATTGGGGGCTTGGGGCATGGGGGGCCAAATGATGAGCCCAAAGTTAACTGGGCCAAGCCCAATAAATCAAGAAGGCCTAAGTCAACTAAAGGGCGGCCCAGACCCACTTTGCCAGTCCGATCCAGTCTGTCCCAATTCAGGATCTAAGAAACCTAGAGAGATAGGAATACGTGGGAGAAACTATCGGGATACACACTCATGAAAATCCAATCTTACCTTAATTGTACTTACCAAAAGAATAATGCCCTCTCTCTCACGTCACTGCCTTAACACCTCACCATACCTATATAATGTGAGCCCTCTCCACATAGCAGGCATCATCTTGAGACCTCTACACCTTGGCACATCTCTACACCTGTCTACACTTCAAGTTTTTCTCTCCTAAAGCATTGTAATTCTCCTTGAACATACTCTCCTGGTTACTTTATTCATCAATAAACATCTTCGACCACCACTGCCGTTTTTCGAGATTGGAATAAGTTACCCAAACTGAACCACTATAAATTTGTATATTGACTCCATATATTACTGTTTTGCCATTGATTATCGTATTTATTGCTCATTAATTGCATATCTTCATATACTCGACTGTTGATCTTGCACAATACTAATTTGTGCATCATTAGTATTCACTGTCTTTAGTTTATTGTCTTTGATTTCACTGTATTTTAGTTCATTTTCTTGAGTGTACGTGTAAGAGGATGAAAGATAGAGGAGATAAAAGAATTTAGGAAAGAGAGAAATGAATTTAAGTAATGACTTTAATTAAGGATATTTTTACCAAGTTTTGTTTTTCTAGATTTTTTCCCTTAAAAATTTTTAAGTTGGACATAAAAGTACAAAAAGTATCATAATGTGGATTTTTTTGCCTATTTTCCCATTTTTTATAATAAGATCAGACAATTGAACCAATAATTCATTAATGTAGTTCACTTATTGAACTGATGTCCGATTCAAATTTAATAATTTTGGGACTCACAGATTATTTGTCATAAAAATCGATTTCCTATAAAATTTAAATAAAAAAGTAAGACATAATTGTTTTTAATAGAATATAATGATTTTCTATCATAAAAATAAGGTTTATTGGTTTTCTATCGTTTTGCCATTTTCATCATTATCCATTGTTGAAACTTGGTGAAGGTGTCACCATGTAACTCTAGTTAGAAAATAAACCATAGTAGAAATACTTAATCAGTTTTTTCTCTTCTTTTTTTTATCACGTTAACCAGTTCCTTATCTACTTCTATTGTTCTAATTTAATTTGAGCAATTTTATAGGACATTGAAGATTTAATGATGCAATTTTTATTATAATTAGTAAATTAATTAAAAATTTTAATATTAAATAAAATATATTATTAATTTAATAATTATATTGAATTAAGTCCGCTTTCTATTTAATTTTGTAGGGTCATGGTATTTATCCATCCATCACAACACGACTTTGCAAACTTTTTGTTCACCTCTCTACTATTTTGAGCTGCCGACTGTAAAGTACATTTCTTTGTCTGATCTCCGGCGGTTGAGTCTTGTGGTTTGATAATTTTCGCCGAACTGAACGATTTGTTTTGATCAAGTGGCGGCTGAACAGAAAAGGAGCCAGCTTAGATTTCAGGAACCTGAAATGACCGAAAACTCAAAAAAATTGAGCGAAATCTCTTGTTCTTTCTCTGATTTCCTCTCTAAAGTAATAATTCTACTCTCTTTCCCAGCATTGAATCGTACTGTGCTCGACTGTTGTTCTGGGTTTCATCATTTCAATGAGCTTTGGCTGATCTGTAATCTAGAATGTTGTTAAATTGCTTATTTCTTAATCTGGGTATTAGTCAAAACTTGATCATATCTACAAGCTAGTAGGTTGACACAAAAGGCAAGATTGACTGGTAGACAGAGAAAGAGAGCTTCACTGGAACCTTTTTCTGAATCTTTATCCCAAAACTTTCAAGATATATACCCTAGAGTCACTTTTTTCGCCACCCGAAAAATTACTAGAACAATTTCACCGAGCATGCCAGCCGACTTAGATAACTCATCCGCCATGAACGATTCTACAGCTTCTGGCGAAGCAAGCGTCTCTTCTTCCGGTAATCAAACCTTGCTCCCCAAAGCCACCACCAAGAAGAAGCGAAACCTCCCCGGAATGCCAGGTAAAAATCATTTACAATCAAATGGGTTCGATTAGTATATTCAAATCAAACGGAAATTATATGGGTCTTTTCGATTTTATTATAGATCCAGATGCGGAGGTGATTGCTCTGTCTCCGAAGACTCTTATGGCAACGAATCGATTTGTTTGCGAGATCTGTAATAAAGGGTTTCAACGAGACCAGAATTTACAGCTCCATCGTAGGGGCCACAATCTTCCATGGAAGCTTAGGCAGAGGTCAAGTAAAGAGGTAAGGAAGCGAGTCTATGTGTGTCCCGAGCTGACTTGTGTTCATCACGATCCTTCACGAGCATTGGGCGATCTCACTGGGATTAAGAAGCATTTCTGTAGAAAACATGGCGAGAAGAAGTGGAAATGTGACAAGTGTTCGAAGAAGTACGCGGTTCAGTCTGATTGGAAGGCTCACTCAAAGATTTGTGGAACCCGAGAGTATAGATGTGATTGTGGGACTTTGTTTTCAAGGTCAATTTTGGAGAAAACAACAAAATTTTGTTACTATAGTAATGTATTCATATGCATGTGATTTGGATTTTTGAAGTTGGTTTTGTGTGGATGATTTACAGGAGGGATAGTTTTGTTACGCACAGGGCGTTTTGTGATGCATTAGCAGAGGAGAGTACTAGAGCACAGACAGTAGTTGCACCCCCAAGTGCAGATGAGGACCCAAAACAACAGACGGTTGCCTCACCGCCACCTCTGCAGCCACCACAACAACCGCCAGCACCACCACAGGCTGTTCCTCAGTCAACTGCTGTGATATCTTCAGTTTTGCAAATTCAAAGCGCAGGTATTATGACCCAAAATAGGAAGTTGTGCAATTTTGGATTTGGGTTTTGTCGGATGCGTTTTGGTTTAACATAGCCTCAAAAAATATATGTTGATTCTCTGTCTTGATCTTGAAGTTTAGCTGTTTTTGTCTGTTAATGATCTTTGTTGTTATCTGTGTGATATTGGGAATTAACCAATCTCGGATTTGGAGAGTTACTAGATAGTCGGAAATAGATTTGTTAAATAGGATTAAAGATTAAGATTAAATCTAATAGGCTCAATGTAAGCAATCTTTTGGTAAAAGTAAGAAACCATCAAAGAGATCCAAAATCTTTTAAAACATTAAATTGAGTGTGGAGAAAGGGCACTATTATTCATTCCACTTTTACATCAAATAAAGTTCTGTAATAAGAAAAGCATTACTTTCTTTGTCTTTGTAGAAAAGTAACCCTTTTTTATTTCATTTATTTGTTTTTGGCTGGTTGCAGACAATCCCAATCCCAATCCCAATCCCATTCCTGCACCGGTTTTTAAGGATGCAACGACGGGAATGGGCTTAGCTGGAAGCAGTAGCTCAAGCAGCAGTGGAAGTAGCAGTAGCAGTGTGTTTGCAAGCTTGTTTGCTTCATCAACAGCTTCAGGAAGTTTACAGCGTCAATCAACTGGATTTACTGACTTAATTCGATCCATGGCTCATCATGAACATACACCGGACCTCGCCCCATCGTCATCTATAGAACCAATATCTCTTTGCCTTGCAACAAATCATGGGTCATCATTTTTTGGAACTGCAGTGCAAGAGCATCAGCAGTATGCGCCACCACCCCAGCCAGCCATGTCTGCAACTGCACTGTTACAGAAGGCTGCTCAGATGAGTGCAGCAGCAACAAACGCCTCATTGTTGAGGGGGTTTGGAATCGTTTCCTCTTCATCTTCAGCAGGGCAGCGAGAATGGAATGGGCGACCAATTGAGCTGAATGATTCCGTGGTGCCCGGGCTTGGACTGGGACTGCCCATTGATGGGGAGTCTGGTTTGAAGGAATTGATGATGGGGACTCCATCAGTGTTTGGTCCCAAGCATACTACAGTTGACTTTCTTGGTTTGGGGATGGCTGCTGGTGGTGGCCCAACTAGTGGACTCTCGGCACTAGTGACACCCCTCGGTGCTGGCCTTGATGTTGCAGCCGCTGCATCATTTGGTGGTGGAGAATTCGCTGGAAAAGACACTAGGAGGAGCTCATGACATAAGTTTTCTGAAAAATTCCGAGGTTGAATGGGCTTTAGTTACTCAAATTTACATGGGTGTACAATGTACAGGCCAGAGGGTTATGGTATGGGGCTTTGAATAATTGATGATGTTGCAGAAACATCTGGTATGATACAATATTGATGCTCCAACATGCCCTTACTGAGGTAGGCATTGAGACCATGGGCAGTTGAGCCTTTTTATTATTCGACTCTGCTGCCATTTCATGAAAAAGTGACATTTTCTTTCCTCTAGATGTGACGAGGGTGTCACAGATTGTGAATGTATATACATTGAATGTGTGAGATTAGTATATGATAGAAGAAAACAACAGCAAAACTAATTTATGACAAAGTTGATTTGGATCTCTGTAATCTGAATTGTTTCATTTTATCGAACCCAAAGCATGGGAGGCCCGGGATTTATTTAGTGTTGACTGAATGGGGTGAATTTTATAACCCTTAAATTGCAGTTATCGTTTCAAGTGTTTCCATGTTCAGATTTGGCTTGCGTGGATGGTGGATTCTAGATTTACTTGAAATGGAGTATGGCTACCATATCGACATCCATACTGATCACAATCATAAATTTTGATTTGGATGATTTTTAACCATTGGCTGAAAAAATTATAAAATAATGAAAATAATAACAAAAAATAACAAAAAACTTTTATACTGTACTTTGTTTTTGTTGAATGAAAATTAGAGAGATGATACCAAAAATTTATTTTTTCATTCTGTAGTGGAACCCATTGAATTGGGTTGATCGTACAGATTCAGGCAAATCTTTTTGAAGTGTTGGAATCTGTCAACTAAAAATTAATGGCATTATAATAATTTGGAGATATGGTAATGGCAAGTTGGTGGTTTCTTGTCAAGTTGCCAGCAAATGGGCTGATCTGGTTTCTTTCATTGGAGGGGAAATGATATTGGCTTTTCATTTTTTTTTTTGTTATAGGTATCCAAGTTTGCTCCGATTACTTTTTGGAGCTCAATGGTGAACTACTGTGGCTGAGCTTTGGGAAATTACTTTGAATAGATATAAAATAGAATAAAATCAAGTCTTTGAGGCACATAATATTGTTTTCTTTAGTGATATTTGTCTCCACTCAAAAAATTTGCTAGAGGGTTCTTAGTAAATCACTTGCAAGATTCAACAAACCCTACAATTAATAATATTAAAGAGCATCCAAAAAAATATTGTTGGACAGTTTTTATTTTGAGAGTGAGAGAGAAAGAGATATAAGCTATACAAGACCCAGGTCTAAATGTGAATAAGTCTAGGACACTATTTATAGACATATTAGTGTAGAGCAATGTTATAGGGACCTTATTTTGAGACCTAATTTGGGAACTTAATGATGTGGTTTCAATGTAATCATTGGATTAATTGTGAATTCTAATGTTAAATGGAGTCCACAACCAATCCACTAATTGTATTGAATTAAGTCTCTACATGTCTTTAAAGGGACAAGGGTGATTAACTTTTAAACTAAAATATGGGAAAAAATTTAACATGAAACTTTTAAATAATCAAAGGTCAGACTCGACGAATAAACCTAACTCTAAGGTTATTTTGTTGGTTGTGCAGGAGCAGGGAGGATAAGCCACAAAGGAGAAAGTAAATTGTCACAAGTTGTAGAATTTGGGTCACTTTCGTTTGCAGCGTAAGCCTTATCTTCTACCTGGTCACCTTGCTATGTAGTCGGCATGAAAAATTGGACTTTTTGCGCTTTCTATTATGAAAGATTTTATTTATTTTTTATTTTATATTCTTAAAAATTAAATTTTTTATATTGTATTAAAATATTGTAACATAATCTTTCTGTTAGCTTTAGTTATTTTTTTTTAATCAAAAGTCAACCTATTGACACTAATGAAAAGTTAATAGAATGGTCATATTATAATATTTTTGATATATTGATGATACAATATAAAAATTCAATCTTTGAAGGTGCAAAATAAAAAACTTAAATTTTTTGTAGGGTACATCACCTTATAAAAGTAATGTGAAATTCGACTTTTTTTTCTTGATGAAAAGTGATACGAAGAAAGCCATCATTAGGTTCGAAAGAAAATAATTAGATTTATTTATCAAATAAATGAATCCATACCATATAATTAATTCCAAACATGAGTCCAATCAAATATGATTTATACACAAAAAATAAACTAAACGTAGAACGAATTCGAATATAGACAATAATAAATCAAGTACAAGGTGATTAAATTTAAGACAGGATTTAAAAATAAAATACGGCATGAACAATCAGCAATTATGGTAAGCAGGCAATGTTTTCCCCCTAATCAGAATGGTTTGTAAAACTTGATTCGAGCAAAGAATAAAAAAAAGATCGGATGGGGTTGAAAAACGTCTTTTCTTGTCTCTGACTTTGCTGTCGTTGGATTCTACACTCAAACCTTATTTGGAGTGGAGTGCGGGGGCGATGCCTATTATTGAAGTGGGAGTGGGCGTTGGGGTGGGGTTGGGGTGGGGCAATAAACGTGTATCAGTTGGCGGAAAGCATTATAGGGTAAACTTCATTTTACCTCATCATGGTTTTCCCCAGTTGTAGATAACTTATTTGAAGTCTTAAAATGACATATAACACTCTTGTGGTTGTTGGACAAAAATGCACAATTAATTCTGTTAATAATAAATCATAAAATGACCAAGTTACCCATCACTTTTCTTTTTTTAACTTAAAAATAGAATCAACACCAAATTAACTAACTCCGACATCAACTTTGGTACACAGCTGCACCATAACTTATAACGCCTAAAAATTCACATTGGAATGCATTACTATCAAGAAACCATCAAATCATAAGAACAACTAACAATAACCATTAAATAACAAAATATTCATCCATCTTACAAAGAATAAATACTAAATTCAATAAAATATTGTAACTTCTCAAACTTACAATTCAAAATCAAATATTATCTAGCAGTGGAATAATTAAAACAAGTTGAAACATTGTTTTATAGAAATCTCTCAAATAAAATAATCTAAACAAAATGAAGCATCTCTAAACTTCTACTTCAGGATCCTCATACTGACCCTGTCCAATTTCGAGGTCAACCTGCTCATCTAATTCGACATTCTCATCTCTGCCAAAATCTATAAATGTGTTGTAGGGGGTGAGCAAAAGCACACAAGAAATCTCTCTCAAATCTAAACAAGGTTTTAAAACAAATATAAAAAAGGCAAGTCACTTTTGAAAAATAACATATATATAAATTTTTGAGAGTAAAATCATAACAGTTGTAATAATCTCAAGTGTACGGAATACAATAAATCAATGATAGGAATAAACTTGAAAGAAATTAAAGCAATCAATAAATAACTCAGTAGCATCATCTCATATTCTCATGTATGTTGGTTGTTTCTCAGGAATTTACACAACGATTCTATCTCGTTCACACAACACAACCACACAATCTCAATCACTCCCTGCAGGCATATCAAAGACAACTTTAGAAATGGTGTATACCGTCTCCCACGGTGTTGACGATTTCTTCCCATGAAAGGTATACAATCCCCCACTCTCGAACTTACGTGAATATTTGTGGTTGCTCTAAAAAACAACAATCAACTATAAGTGTTAGACAACCATCTCACCCTCACTAAGATAGACTAACCTCTAATACTCTATGACAACTTTCGAAGGCAATTCAAGTTCGGCATACCCAAACATAATCTCCATTACAAATCCTTTGTGTACCTTGGTGTTCCTAGTCATCCACTCATTTTTGCCCAATCTCCTGTTATGGTAATTAATAGTAAAACCTCTATACAGTAGATCTTTTGAACCCGCTTCAAGCCATGATGACTAATCAACCAATATCTTGGGATAACCATACAAGAAATGAGACAATAATTTTTTTCAACAACCACAATCTTAATCAATCACAATTTCACAATTCTCATTATACTACAGTAATAGATGAATTAAAATATGCAAGAGGTCATATCAAGAAAATCTTCACAATTGCGATATCAAAAATCTAGGATTTTGCCAAAAATCATAATTTTCTTGGGAACAAAACAAGTATTAAGATGAAAACAAGATTTAACCAAACATAGGAATTTAAAAATCAAGAATTCATGTATTTTTTACAATCGAACATGTATTTAGCAAAACTAGGATTTTGAAAGCAAAGAACAAGTATTTCTTGAACCCAAACATGTATTATGTTCAAAAACTATTTTTTAATGATAAAGAAACCAAGAACTCGTAAGTATTCATCATATAACTATCATGAAGATTGAAAACATACATACCTAATACCTTAAGTCTCAATGAAAGAACTCAAAAAGAGTCCCCTACCTTGATTACATAGTTTGTGTTTAAACGTAGCGTGTTTGATCTGTTCCAACATAAGAATCCCCCTTTACTCTTATATTTCTCTTCTTCTTTCTTACTCTCTATGGTCCTCTAGGGTTAAGAAAAATAAGGCTAGGGGAGGCATCCTTAGGTATTAATAGGATGAAAAATAGTCCATTCAGCGCATACCTGATATTGAAAATTGCAATAGTATGTTCGATCTAGAAGTTTGACGTTCAAGCTATTTGTAGGGAGTTCGAACAGATTCATTCGCGTTCAAATAGACTTTAGTTTTTACTTGAACTTCCAAGGAAGTTTTAGCGTAGTTACAAGTTGATTCATGTTTCTTGAAATACACTTTTATACCCCTGAAGTTTACTTTCAATTGTAAGAATTTCAGGTCAATTGGACATTAGAGCAAAAAATTATAGCCACAATACTAAAGTTATGTTAAATTCCTTTCTACCGAAATCCACTACAAAATAGGTTTTAACTCTAGAATACTTCTAAACTTCTAATAAAACTCATAACAATTTCAAATGTTTTCAACCTTCCGGATTTAATGGAAACCCTACTTTTACCTAAAAATATTTATAAAATTAATTAGCCACCCTTCTCAAATTTAAATATCTCCAAAATTCAATTTACCTTGAACATAAATACACGCAAAACTCAAACTTTACAATCAATCTTTTAACAATGATTCTAAGTTTTTACTATCATTTTATTCATCTTAAAAAAACTCTAAAGATAATATTATCCTTCTTTAATTTTAATATGAGGACTTACATCCCCACCCCCCAGAAACCCACTCACTACACAACCATTCAATACACTACACAACCATTCAATACACCATACCAACAATGACACCTTCACCACTCAAAGGAACTAATATCACTCAATTGCATCATCACCACTCACATTCCCAACAACCCAAACTCTAATCTTCCATCACCATTGTAGACCATCACTGAAAAATAGAGACCAAAAATTGCAATAAAAATTTAGAACTAAACCAAAGGCGATTCAAAATAAGAACCAAACCAATATTGCTAGCGAACATCAAAATCGAATGGATGATCAAAACTAAGCTAAAATGGAATCGAACAAA